ATCAGGAACGTTTGTGTTAAAAGCATTTGCAAAGACCTTTCATGGATGCCTGTAAGACTTACATGTGTGGCTTAATCTTCTCTAAGAATATGTCATGCATTCATTTCCTCTTGATACTACAAGTATGAGATAAAGTTGAAAATGACTGGTTTTTATTCATTTGTCTGTTGAGAAAACGCTGTCACCATAGAAAAAAGGAACAATTCTAATAGCATTTGCAGTTCCTCTACTCAGTTTATGCCAATCTGTTGGACTGATTTCTTCATGGAATTGAGTAGTTAGAATGTGGTGCAGACATGGCAACTGCTTTCTCTCAACCTCTGATTTGATATGATTGATTAGTATACTTAATATCCATTGTTGTTCTGGCAGTTTAAAATGGAAGGTGAAGGAATGTTGGTAAGTGCTAGGCACTGAACTCTTCTACATAATTATCTAATTCCTATTATTAATATTCTTGTTTTTCAGTTTAGAGACTTGCTTAGAGAGTTAAATAATTTGTTCAAGGTCACACAGCTAGTAATTGCTCAAGGTCACCAGAGCTAGGTTTTATACCAATGCTGTGATGCCAGAACTGTTGTGCTCTCATGGGGTGGCATACTTAATTGGTTCAAATTACATGAATATATTTAACATTTCCTTCAAAGAACTTTGCAAAAAAAAAAATGTGGGAAGTAACAACAAAAAAATCGAGTAACGTTAGAAATAAACAGGGCTTGTGGAAAGAGAAGAGAGGCCAGTTAAGGAAGAGTGAGTGGGATTAGGGATGATCAGAATCTTAATCTCTAACCATGACTGCCTAAAGCAGGGAGTTGTGTTGATGCTTTGAAGGGACTCTGGCATTTACAGGGCAAAAAGAATGAGAATGGGGGATGGAACTTTGAAGTGATTAATTTGAAAGAACTACATTCATTTGACTGCAATCATTTTAAAATTGATTAATTAGAAAAGACTGTGTTCATAAGTGCTGGCAAAGTGGATACGAAATCATTTTAATCCCTTTACAGTGCTGCCTCATACAGGCCTAGTCTGGTTACATCATCAAGATATAACAAATCATTTGTATGGAGGATAATTTTTCTTTTTTTGGTGGGACTGGGGTTTGAACTCAGGGCTTACATTCACAAAGCTGGTACTCTGCCTCCAGTCCATTTTGCTCTGGTTATTTTGGTGAAGGGTATACCACAAACTATTTGCCCAGGCTGGTTTTGAACCATGATCCTCCCAATCTCAGCCTCCTAAGTAGCTAGGATTACAGGTGTGAGCCCAACTGGAGGATAATTCCAATAAAGTCAGTCAATAGGTCACAGAGGCTCTCTGTTTACAACAGAGGACATCTTTTTCCATCTGGTTGTGATCAACCAATACCTGTGGAACACTGATAACAAAGGAATCTGAATGGGACAGTGTGTGCAAATCTGTTGTCTTTCTTCCACAAACACTTGGCAGTGTTCAAGAACATGCATTTTATCATATGTAAGCAAATACTTACTGAGTACCTACTACATGGAAACAATTATCAATATTATTAATTTGGACATGAAATCTTGACAGATTTTATTTTAAAAAAAGTCTCTCACATTGATCTTTTCTTGTTTTACTTATTAATATTTTAGGCCAAGACCTGATCATCCCATATTGGGATTATTGTTAAGAGTTTCCTAAAATGGAATAAAATGGAAAACAATGAACTGTTGTAGAACTGAAGGGACATCATTTAGTTCAAATCAATTACAAGGCTCAGACAGATCCTGCCAGAGATTAACTTCCTTAAATCATTGCCTTTACTGTAGTATTCATCCATTAACTTGAGAATACTCATGGTTTGTCCATTGAGTTTAATTTCTTGCTTGACTTTATGGTCTCACCTTGCATTATAGCATCCAACTTTATGAAGTAGACATTTTGAGATATAAAGAGAAGATAGGCTCCAGTGCTACAAGAGTGGGGATTTCAACACCCCCTTCTAATCAGTGGACAATCATTTACACAAAAAAATTACTTTAATATTGAAGACTTTAATGATGAGAAGGGGTCAGCCATATGTATATTTGGAGAAAAGATTTTTAGAAAAAAGGAAAAATAATTGCATGATTTGAATTGGAGCTAAATCTAGTGAGTTTGAGGAAGAGGAAAGACAGTGGATGAAGTGTAGTGAATGGGTAGGAGAAAGGTGAGAAAAGTGGCTGGAAGAAGGAGCCAGGGTAGGCCTTGTAGAGCTCCTATGCCATGATAAGAGGTTTGGACAACACAATTTGTATTTATTTGGAGCTGAAACTGGTTCAGCTTTCCATTCCTTTATCCCAGCTCTGTTCTAGACATCATGTACAAAAAGTATAGACTCAGTTCCACAGAATGGTCTTTTATACACTTGAAGATATATCCTATCTCTAAGGAGGTTGTTCAGGCACAAACATTTTCATTTCTTTCTACAGTTTTGGGAGCCGTCACTATTCTGACTAATTTCTTCTATACTTCCCTCTTTCTATCCTCCTTATCCAGGTAACACATAGACCACTAACAGGATAGATCCAGTAGGCCTATTTCCTTACTCATTCTGCTATACCTTCTGCTCATACATCTTGAGATTGTATTAGTTATTTCTTTTGTCAGACAATCACATTATTTAATTATACTAGTTTCTGCCAAAACTTCTGGGTCATTTTTTACATTGTCTGCTGCTACATTATATTTCCCTTCAGCCTATACCTTTCTGATGACCATTGTGCTTTGTTTTGTTTTATTTTGATTCAAGGGAAGAATCTTGTATCTATCCTTATTATATTTAGTATTATTTGATTTAACCCATTATACAAGCCTTTCAAGATCCCCTGGGAAGCCTATGTCATCATGTCTTCTAGATCTGCTATTTCTCTTACCTATTTGTCATCCACAAATTTAATAAATGTATTTTTCAGATGCTCACCAAAGTCATTGTGTCAAATATTCATCACTGTAACAAATACCTGATATAATCAACTTATAAAAAGAAACTTTATTCTGACTCACAGTTTTGGAGGTTCCAGTCCATGATTGATTAGCCCCATTGCTTTTGGGCTTATAGTAAGGCAACATGTCATGGCAGGAGCATGTAACAGAACAAAATTGCTCACTTCATGGCTGGGAGGCAAAAAAGAGAGAAAGAGGAAGAGATTGACTGGGGATCCTACAATCCCCTTCAAGGGTATGCCTTCAGTGACCTGAAGACCTTCCACTAAACCCTACCACTTAAAGGTTCCACAACCTCCCAGTAGTGTCACATGGACATTTGGTGGACACTTAAGGCCTAAACTGTAGAAATCATTTAAAAATGTTTTTGAAAGAGGGCTAAGGACCACAGGAAGTATAAGATCTATAAGAGCAGAGGATGTCTGTCTTGTTGATTGCTCCTTCTGCTCATTACAGAGGCTGGTACAGAATGTTTAATGGATTCAATTGGAAAAAGTACTTTGGCCCTTTGATATGACACCAAGGAGTTCTTTTTAAATTGGCACAGCTCCTCTCTTACCACCCTTTGAATAATGCATAAATTCACTGAACTATACTCTCATTCATCCTATGATATCATGTTGACCTCAAAGATATTAAGAAAGACCTTTGGTTTATTGCTGCTCCAGAATACTAAACCTACAATTTTATAATCCACAAGTCTTATAACACTCATCAGAAGTAGAAATGAGGCATTCAAAAATGTCTGATTCATAAACAACCTGGTTCATGCTGACATCTGAAGATTGTGTAGTTGTTTGTTTTCCAAGTAATTATAACTTAGTCCTTTAAAAGATTCACTGAAGATCCTTGTTGGGTATTACATTTGAGACCACATCTTCCATCCAATTTTTAAAAAGTAAAACCTGTCTTCTATGTCACCTCAAAGATCATTTTCTTTTCAGCAGTTGTCACTGTCATTTATTGGATCTGGAAACACAACCTCATGATAGGGAATTGTGTTTTCTTTTAAATTTGCTTTGCAGAGATCTTGATTAAATTCTCTGATCATTTTTTGTACCTTCTTAGTTTGAATATCACTCACCTTCACTAAAAAGAAATAAAGCAAAGTTTGTTGGCATTCAAAAATTATAATTATCTCCTGATCCAAACATAAGTAGAAAACAATTTTTGTTACTCTTAACTTTTTTATAAATAGTGATTATTGAAGTTTTAGCTTTCATATAACTCTGTACACAGGTTGGTGCCATTCTTTCATTCTTCTTTGTTTATTGGCCTTTTTCTCTATAATTTGTACACACTCAATTCATATATGAGCTTGTGGAAAATCAGACTGTACAGAGCACTGCTTGCCCTTCATCCTTTCTTCTTTTCTTCCTAATGGAGAAATCACATAGTCAGAATTTCATTTTAACATCTGGAGTTGCATTTTCTTTAAGAGTCACATTTTCTATTGTAGCTCAATCTGAAGTCTTCTAAGCTTGATTTTTTTCAGCTATTTTTCCCCCTGGTGATCATTCAGGCACACTTTTCTAAGACACCATTATTTTCATTTTACTGAAAATGTCCTCTGTTTGTAAGACTTAGGTTCAGAGTTGAAATTCTTCTAGGCATTATATCTACTCCTTGAGAGACAAAATTGTCAGTGTATTAAGCCAAAAGCCCATCATGGATTACTTTAGCTAAATGAGAACGTTAGTCAATATCTGAATATTTGAAGTCCCATCATTACCTTTTCTTATTCTATCCCACTAATTTCTTTGTATTGCTTCCTGTGAAAGCATATTTTCCATCCTATTTTATAATCTCAAGTTTATTTCCTTTATAATCCATATACCATGTTGGTATGTAAAACAGCTGAGATCTTGAGACTGGGAGTTATGTTGATCATTTCAACAGAAATGATTAGCACCACATGCACACTGTTATTCTTGTTTCTATATGATTCAGTTGAGGATTGTTTGCTTGCAAGAAACAAAACACTACCCAAGATAGTGTAAGCTAAAACTGGGGCATTTAATGAATGAATATAGGGATATGTCATAGAATACGTGACCAGGGAGAAGAGCTGGGCTCATGAGGAACTCAACTGATATCTGGTTGATATCACCCTGTTTGTGCTCTTGGTCTTCTTGCAGCATGTCTGCCCCATTCTCTAGCTTTTGCAGTCCAGAATATTCTACTTTAGTATGCACCTGGCAGAAAATGATGATTTTAGCTGCAATACACAGAGCCCTTCTTCCAGATCAATTGTCTAAGTCCCCAAAACACAATCCTGTTACTCCTACTTTAAACTCTCCCCCAAATCTGATCAACTTAGTTTGGCCTATGGTTTGTTTATTTATTTATTTATTGGTGTTACAACCCCACACTTTGTCGAGTCATTGAAGCTGAAGAGGAAATGATCAGTAATAGACAGTGGACAATAGCTCTTCTAGATTATGATGGTAGACAGAAATTATTTGCATTTGCGTTTTAGAACTGCCATCTTCTACTGTAATTACTTCTATAGGTCTATTTCAGTTTTTAATTTCTTTTCTTCACAATCACATTAACAAGTCTGTAGCCAACTACAATCTTACACTTTTTTTTGGTAAGATATACTCCCAACTTTGATATGGGTTTTTTATTCCAGTGTTTTAAGCCACAATGTAGAACTTATATTTCATTCATTATTATTTTCCATGCCCTCCATTTCTTCCAAAGAGAATCAATAACAGCATTATTTATATTCAGAAGTATTTTAATTTCCTTCCAATGTTGTCATTCCCTAAAGAAACCTCCCCAGTGTCCCTGCAGGAATCAACATGACTGGGTAACAGTCCTGCTCATATGCTCACTTGGATTTATTGTGGCTGTCTTTCAGCTCCATTACAGGTTGTTACCAACACCAAGATATATTCTTTCCTCCTAGGGTCGTGATTTGATATCCTTGAACAACAGGACCATTCAAGTCCTTTTCAATATTTTTCCTTCTCGAGGAGGGTCCAGCCACTTCCCATCTCCTCTTTAGCAGGAGCCACATCCTTCATTTAAATCTGTCACATTCCTCCACTCTTCATTTTATGGAATCTGACTTTGATCTCTGTTTTTAGATTATTTTGATGAGTTTGGGATGCAGCCACATTTCTAGAAGATCTGGACTTACCTGTTGGGGAAGGGGGCTCCAACCTATTATCTATATCTGTATTTATATCTATGTAGAGAGAGAGAAGGCCTTGCACTTGCTAGGCAAGCACTCTGCCACTTGAGCCATGTCCCCAGCCCCTATTATGTATTTTCAGTTCAGTAGAAATCCTTCATTTTAACTTTCTTTTTACTTGTTATTCATCCCTCTCTATACCATTAGATTAAGTTTTGACCCTCTTCAGCTTTAAAATCATTATCTTGTGCTTTTGGATTTTTCTCTAAGAATCCTATTTTATTGGGATTATTATACTCATGTGATTTCTGAGAGGCTAAAATATTTTTGAGGCCTCTTCAGATTTTCAAATAAGTTATCTAGATAGCATTCAACATGCTCAGAGCTTATACTTGCTTCTAGCAGGAAGATAAACAGCTTTTTCTCTGCTAGTCATCAAACCATTAGGTCCCATGGTTTGTTTTTGTTGTTGTTGTTGTTATTGTATTGAGATACCAAGTTAGACATTATCTTATATTGCCTCATTTCTTTTTTATTGTATCTTGGAATAGAAGCTAAAAACATAGACTCAGAAGTCAAATAGACCTAAGCAGATTACTGAAATTCTCTATGCCTCTATTTCCTTGTCAGTAAAATGGGGATTATATTTCCTACTGCACAGAATTGTTGTGAAGGTTAAATAACAAAATATGGGCTGAATGTTTACTACATTGTAAGTGCTAACTATAATATTGTAATTATTTTTATTAGACTGTAAGCTTCTTGAACTTGGGACTTACAGTTCAAGCTTTATTTAGCAACTGTATCTTATAAGTTTATTAATGTTCTTTTATATATGAATTATGTTTAGTGATAAGAATGCTAGAAAAAGAAATATACTAAAACTAAAATTGTTAGTTTTGATTCTGGTTTCTTTATGTTGCATTTATTTCCTTCAAGTTCATAGGTTGCATTTATTTCTTTTTGGCAGTACTGGGGGTTGAACTCAGTGTTTCACACTTGCGACACAGGTGCTCTACTGCTTGAGTCACACCTCCAACACTGTCTCTCTTAAACTAACTTTACATTTTTAAAAAATATATATTACTCATTTCTAAAATTTCTTTTTGCCCTTTTTTCTCAAATTCAAGTGCCACTCATATTTTTAAGTGCTAACTATGCATCAGGTTCTGTGCTAGGTACTTGAACATACCTAGATATTATCGTTATTTTTCTTTCATAGATTACAAAAAACAGTGCTCAGAGAATTTAGAACAACTAGTAAGTAGCACCTGCAAGAGTGACAAATAAGACTGAACCTAAACCAGTGAGACAGAACTGTAGGATGAATATGACTGAATCATGTGCAAGTACAGAAGGAGCTGTTTTTCTTCACAAAAGGATGGTGAAGAGAGTAAAGGAAGTCTGCATGGAGGAGATGAAATTTAATTTACAAGATGACCAATCAATCGCTGGACAACTGGAGATGACTAATTTGGAAAAAAATTTTCCCTTTAATTCACTGTTATCATTTAGTTGTATGTCATAGTTTAGGTTTATGATACCATGAATGCAAAAGAGGTAAGTTTTTACCAATTAGAACATAAAATGGTAAGCATGTGTTTTATTTTATTGCATGTTGAGTACATTTAGAGGCTTTTAATATATAAAAATGGCTTCTGTGCAAGAAATCTCATTATCAATGTTTTCAATGAGTATATATGTCCTTTCCCTAAGTCTAGTTACAGTCCTCATAATATAAAACTAATCTTTGAAATGCTTGGTAAATATGCCAATTCTGGGTACAAATGAATCCTCCACTTCTGGAGGCTTGGTGTGGGCTCCGATTTAGGTCTCCAATACATGTCCAGCGATTTTTGGTGCCCTTTTGGGAAATGCACCATTTAGCATGGTCCTGGTAAGAACTGAAATAAGATTGTTGAGCTATCTTTATGGCTTTGATATTGTAGACATGGTAAGGAAGGGAGCAGTTTGAAGGAAGCTCTTGTTTCTTTCGCTGCCAAGTTTCTGTTAGCAAGTGTGTCTTCAATTGTTGAGCCATCCATGCTGCAAAGATGTCTAGGATTTGGAAAAAGAGAGATAGAAGGTTGGTATTTATACTTAAATAAGCTTCTGAAAATATTTTCAGGAATGGAAATCTTCACTTGCTCCTGATATGTGGATGTCAAAGCACAATAATAACAACATAACTGAGATAGTATATGGAAAAACATTTTCTAAATCCTAAAGTGATATGCAAATAAAAGATAATATGATTACTATGATGATGTTGGTGCCTACAAACATCTTCTGTGCCACATATCCAAGGACCAATATGTGTTTTCACCCTTGGAAAGAATAAGGCTAGAGAATTAATCAGGGGCCAGTTCTAAGGATTTTTTTTTTCTTTTGGTGGTACTGGGGTTTGAACTCGGGACCTTATGCTGGTTAATGCAGGTTCCCTTATCATTTGGTCACACACCCAGCTCAGTTTTAAGGATCTTTATAAGTCATGCTAAAACGTTTGGATTTTCCTGAAATCAATGGAGAAATGTTAAAGAAATGTTAATGGAGAATTAATAGAAACTGACTTATGATCACAAATATCAGTGAGAAGCAGTATGCAGAATGAATTGAGAAGGATGGGTTAGAAAGGAAATAGAAAAACATAAGGTTGTCACAATAAGTGTGACAATACACATGGGCATGGACTAAGGTGGTGGCAGAAAGTTTGGAGAGGATAAGATTAATGTAGAAATTATTAAGGACTTGGAACTGATTGATTTGATGGTTTGATAAGAGGAATGAGGAAAGAAGGAATGTAGAATGCCTGTGTGACTGTGTAGAACATGAGAAAAAGAATGGGTTTATGAGGGATGATGATGAGATGAGTTTGGCATGTTGTATTTGGTGGGGCTGTACCACCTCCAAGTAGAAATGACCTATTCTTGTTGAGTATGTCAGTCAGTACACAGGGCTGAGGAGGAGATCCGGACTTGGGAATCACCTAAGGGCCTGCTGGAATTACCCAGCATGGTTTGTAGAATGAGATAAGGAAAGGTAGAGGATCACATGGCAATCCCTTGACCTAAGGAGTAGCCAGAGGAGTAAGGTCTGGAAGAAGACACTTGAATGAAGTTAAAGGAAAACGTAGAGACTAGATACTCCCAAAAATCAGTAACAAGGAGTAATGTTAGAAAGGAAAGGGTTTCAACTGTACCAATATCTATAGAGCTTTTTTCTTTCTGTTAATTTTTGCATCTCTAGTGCCTGACATTGGGCTTGGCAAATACTAGGCATTCAGCAAATTACAACCAATGTATAATATAAGGAAGCAAGTAGGCAAGGCAGACAGCAAGGTCATCTAAGGTGGCCATTGTTGTCTCAGGAGAGATTGGCATCCACAGACAGAAGCAAAGCAATAGGGAAGGAGAATTCAGCAAGTGAAGGCTCTGACGATTTTCAAAAGAAATTTGGTGGTGTGTGTGAGGAGAGGGGACAGAGATATAAGGAATGTAGAAATGAAAGAGGATTTTTAGGCATGCTTGTAAGCTATGAAGAAGGAACCTATAGAGTGGGAGACTTGAAGCAGAGAGGCAGAATAGGTCAAGTGAAAAATCAAGGTGATTTGAGGCTAGAATGCATTCCAGGGAACAGGGGGTATGTAGCTTTTGTTGGGATGGGAACAGATAGGTAAGAATGTTGGAAGGATTGGGGTGAGGAGGATAGTAAAGTGGTTTCTCCCTGGTGATCTTTGTTCTTTCTGTTGGGGAGGGGCCAGGGTCATGTAAGGGATGAGAATAAGGAAGACTCAAAGTAACTGCTTAGGGGATGGGAGAAGAGGGGACAGCTGTGGCCTGCGTGCCCAGCAGAAGCTAGAGATTGAGTTTTTATGGGCCCCTCACTGTATGGCTCTGAGAACCTTCTGTGGCTGAATCAACAATCCTACACTTGAATAGTGGATTAGGGAAATGTTTGCATTGATCCCTGATGTCTCTTTTCTCTTCCTTCCTCTTTCCTCCCTTCTTTTCTGCTTCTCTTCCCCTGAATAATCAGAATTCTTTCTCTAAGTAATCCATAAGGGGTCCAACTGCAGAGTTATATAACATACTATTTGATAATGGTTTTTCATACCATCAAGAAAAGAGTCAGATTTTGCAAAGTGGAGGAAGTTTTGTCCCTGGGCTGACTGAAGTGTGGTGAGGTGCCGACCAGGGATCTTTGGTAAGTTGAACCTGGCACACAGCTGGGGCATGTGGACAAGTTCCTGGTGAAAGGTGGCCGGGATATAACAGCTATAGATGTTTGGGTTGCAGACCAAGAGCTGAAAATCTGAATCAAGAAACAGTAAAGAAAAGTTGAGAATTTGGATACAAATAGAAATACCTATTGATAGTATAGATCTTGTTACAGATTAAAAAGCAAAACAATATAAGCAAACAACAAAACCCAAGCATGGGATTCCCTTTTCACAAGCAATGGTCTCCAAATGGCTTTGGTTGAAGTAACTGACACCTATTGAGACCTTCCTACTTTCCAGAAATTGTTCCACAGGTTTTACATGTTTTTACTCATTTAAGCCTCACAGCAACCTCATTATTAGGTTAAGTTCTCTTATTACCACCACCCTCACTTTATAGATGAATTAACCAAGACTTTATGTAGCATGTCTATGGTTATAAAATTTGTAACTGATGGAATTACTATTCAAACTCAGATAATATGGCCTGGAGACCAGATATATTTTTCCTCCTATATATCCATATATAAAAGCAGAGAATTCCTTGTACTCATTATTCAACTTCAAGAAAAATCAAGTCATCATGGCACATACCTTATCTCCAATATTGAGCTCTCTAACTATTGCATGAACTCAACTAGCTAGATTAGAGCTTGACTGAGTTAAGAAGTGCCATGGTACTTGTCATAAGATGGGAATTTAATGAGAAACGTTTTCTAAATGGTCTGTATCTAGAGGCAAGTCATTCTTCACTGCTACTTATCAATTTCCTAAGTAAAATGATGTTCCTACTTTTCTTCCTTCCACACTATAGTTTGCCAAATATAAGTATTTTGGACTATTTGCACTTGAGCTCTTAAAAGAAGTCCATCTGGCTGAGGTGTAGTGTTGGCAGCATACAGACATTTGGTCTGCAAAATTAAAAAAAAAAGATTGAGTCCATATTTAAAAATAAGTATCTTTCTCTTACACACACACACACATATACACCCTCTAGGTTTCTGGTGCCTCTTGAAAAATAGATCTGTAATCAGTAGGCCTGTATTCCTGTACAGTGACAATTCTGTGGCACTGAGGCCTTTGAAGACACCCAGGGGAAAGTCAAACCCTTGGTGTCACTGTCCCCAGTGTCCATGCATTATCTTTTGGCTTCACCCATCTTTGTCCTTACCTGGCTCTTGAATTCATTTGAAACTACTGGTCCTGATCAAATTCAACAAGGTCATTGGTAGACCAGGATCTGAGGACTAATAAGTGAGCCTGCCCATTGTTTTACCATAGCAGAGGCCAGAATTAGAATCTAGGTATCAGAGGGCCTGTGGATAGATTAACAGATGAAGTGCACTTTTATGAATTCTTTTCCCATGACTTCTTCAACACTGCTATCTCCTTTCACACATTCTGGTGTTACCTATCGCTTCATACTGGTTGTACTTGAAAGTTATGCAGATCCCACTTTGTCCATTTCGTCTCCCTGTAGATGGATAATCATAGCCTTCTTCGGGAACTGAAGGAAACCCGGGAATGGAATGAATCAGCCAGAACCCCTGGATTCTGTTCCACAGCAGCAAACCTACCAAAGATACATTTGATACAGATAAATTAGAAAAACAAAACTCCTTTTACAATAAGGCCCAGGCGGCTTAGGCTGTTTGTGCTTTAGGCTAATGTTTTATTAGGCTAATAACCACAAGGATCATGATCAATTTTTAAGTATTTCAAAAACAATTCGGACACATATTACAATGCCCCATTACTAATAATAAGCCACCACAAAAGGGATGCCAGGAAAGTCACCCTATGAAGAGTTAAGAGGAATTGCATGTTGAAACTACAAGGAAAATTTGTTTTGGCAGGATGCAAATTTGCTAAATTGGAATTTGACCTTGTTAAACTAGAGTCACCAGGCAAGCTTCAGATAGTGTCTTTACTGTTAAGCAACTGAGATATTTTCAAAAGCCTGCTAAAAAAGCAGAGTTAAAAGAAAAAAATATCAAATGAAGAAATATACTGACTGTGTTTTGTTTTAAAAACTGTAGACTTGTTTATTGGAGAAGAGTCAACCAGTTTTACAGATCTGATAGAAGAGGCAAAGAGAGAAAAAGGAGGCATGTTAGTGTTTCTTTGCTATTCATGTTTTGTAAAATTTCTGTTGCTTTCTAAAATGAAAGCCAGAAAGGAAAAAAAAAATTAGAAAAGTTTTTATCATCTTACACCATGGCAAAAAAGAACCATGTCCAATAAGCATCTCTGACTATTTCTGTGTTTATAAATATATCAGGATAAGTTTGATATGGTACCTAGCCTTTGTAGTGTGTATATAAATATGCAAACCTGAAATTCATTCTTGTTTGCCTTGTTATTAGAATGGAAGCCAAATGCCTGAAACTTATGTCTTTTTCAAAGAGCATGCTTTAAGAAAGCATACCGTTTGGTGGAGATAGAAACAATACCTATGTCTAAGTGGAAACTATTGAAAGTTCCATTGCCTAACAGAGCTGAATGACCTTCAAGTTCACTCTTCTGTCCAGATGAATACATTGTTTTGCTGTAATCCAAGTCTCCTGGGATGAATGTCACAGATATTAGGGTATCTGTTGGCAAAGAGAACACCCAACTTCACATTGAACCCTGTTTTCTTTTTCCCAAACCCTTGCAACAACTAATTGTGTGGAGTAGGAGTGGTAGTCAAAGGTTACTGGAGGAGAGATTGTAGAATACGGCATGTTATGAAAATCATTAGGCTACCTGTAAATAGGGCCATCAAGGGAAACTTGACTAAATCAAATCTCTCAGTGTGCATGACTTTTGACAGTCATTACAGATTATATTAATTACAAATTGCAAATTAGCAGTCAATGGGCCAAATGCAACTTGAAGATACATTTTAATAGGTTATATAGATATAATTAAATGATATAAATATAATTTAATAGGTTTGTGATTTTAAAACTTTGAATTCATTATTGACCTTCAAAATCTGGAGTGTTTTTCCACAAATACTAATTTTCGATATCTCCTGAGAAATTGTATCCATATAAGGCAAAGTGAGAATTAACTATCCCCTTCAGACATTGTATTTTTTCTCCAATTACCTGCTAGGTGAGTTCACTTTACTTGCTGACATTATCTGCTGTCCCCTGAAGGCATTTGAGTTTGGAATATTTGAGAGTACTTATTCTGAAGACTACTTATTACCTAGGAAGTTGTTCCTGATAATATTATAAGTTGAAAAAAAGCTGAAAAATAGTACTTATAATAGTTTTATAAAAATGTTTTGCATATTTTAGAAAAAGTACAAAGGTTTAAGTGTGTTTGAATTTTTCTTTAATGCATAATTTATAAATAGAAAATGACCAAGATTACCATAATGAAATTACTGTATATAATAACAATATATAACAAAATTACTGTTATATGAAAAATGATTTAAAAATACTTTTTAAAAATGTTTATTTCAAATGGAACTGCACATCATGAAGAGTAAATTTTTTCAATGTAAGCTTATGAATCAATCAACGTAACTAAAATGTGTGTATACATACATTACATACACACATACACCTATTTATAGTGTAACGTAGATTTGTTGGTGTCTCTGTGGATATACACAGAGATTGTACCTATGAGTATATTCATGTACAGATAGGTACTAACTGGTATTTGAAAAGTCAGTGCTTGAGTTTTTGCTCTAAAACACATATTTTTAAAATATATTAAGAAAAAAAGTGCCAGTGGCTCACGCCTATAATCCTAGCTACTCAGGAGGCAGAGATCAGGAGGATCTCAGTTCAAAGCCAGCCTGGGCAAATAGTTCGCAAGACCCTATCTCAAAAAAACCTTCACAGAAAAGGGCAGGTGGAGTGGCTCAAGGTGTAGGCCCTATGTCCAAACCGCAGTACTTAAAAAAAAGAAAAAAAAAAAGGATTTGTAGTAAATAACTTTTCTTCTGTCAAAAAATTTTTTAAAGTAATTACATACTACAGGAAAAATTACAATTCTGCAAAAGCCATGACCCAATTATGAAGCAAGTAACACATGGTATAATTTGAAAGAAGAGAGTTTATGCTTGGAACCTTTTGTTTAAACCTGCATAGACTTAAAGATGTAAGACTGGATAAGTGGAAGGAGAAACAGCTCCTGGCTTTCCTCTGTGTACCCTTATATAGTCTAGCACTCCTCCTAATCATTGGTTTGCAGGTTTTAGAATCAATATATAAAAGGAAAACATAGTTCAAGTATGGATCCCCCAAATAATAAACCTCTAAGAACACTGATCAGATGAACTACAGGTCTAACAATAGCAGTCAGGATGTAAGGCTGTAATGAGCTGGATGGGAAGTATGCAGTGGCCATTTCCTCAACAGTAGGGAGCCAGGAGACTCCCGACCACTAAAATGATGGCTTAAGAAACAAACTACTACTTAAAGTTATGAAGGAAACCAAGAGAAGAACCAGGCTGGTGGAGTGGCATGAGGTCCTGGGTTCAAACCCCAGCAGCTCTGGAAAAGAAAAAAGACCCAGAATATAACTAACCAAATTGGTGAGGAGGAAAGGCATGAGATAAACTGCTTATCACTCACAGTGGACAACCCACAGGCGTTGCTTAAATGATGAGTCCAGAGCAGGAACAACAGACGCACTGTCCCCTCTGAGAAGGGGACTGGTGAGGACCCTGGGGAGGAACGCTTTTACTTTTCATTTTCTATCCATTTGAATTGTTTAAAATTTTTACTCAAGTACATTCAAGATCATGCTCTAAAGGTAAATTTGTCTTTAATCTTCAAAAGCATCAGAACTGGCAGCTCAGGAAGGAATAATGGTTGTCTGTGTAGTAACACCCCAGGAAGTTCCAAAAAGCAGGTATAAAAAGTCAAAAAAAAAAAAAAAAAGCCCAGGTGCAGTGGCTCATGCCTGCAATCCTAGCCACTCAGGAGGCAGAGATCAGGAAGATTTTGACCAGCCCCAGGCAAATAGTTTGAGACTCGATTTTGAAAAAATCCATCTCCAAAAAGGGCTGGTCAAGTGGCTTAAACAGTAAGAGCACTTGACTAGCAAGTGTAAGGGCCTAAGTTCAAACCCCAATGCCACTAAAAAAAAAAAAAAGAAAGAAAGAAAATGGGATTTGTGAGAAGGATATTTCCAAGTCAAGTTATATAACTGTTTTACAACCTGTTACATAGTAATCATACAAACCATACATTTCAATAAGTCAAAATAAGCCATTAAGAATGTTCAAGATGAAAGGTTTAAGAAAATGATGATTTCCCAATGTGAGTCAATGCCCTGTATAGCTATCCTTATCTCAACCAGCAAAACCCCTTGTTCCTTCCTATTATTGCTTATACTCTCTCTACAACAAAATTAGAGATAAGGGCAAAATAGTTTCTGCTGGGTATTGAGGGGGGGAGCGGGAGGGGGTGGAGTGGGTGGTAAGGGAGGGGTTGGGGGCAGGGGGGAGAAATAAACCAAGCCTTGTATGCACATATGAATAATAAAAGAAAAATGAAAAAAAAAAAAGAAATCAATGTCATCAGCAGAAAAGCCAAGTTAAAAAAAAAAAAAAAAGAAAATGATGATTTCCAATAAGAAAGAGAAACTAAGAGCCATCGTCATACCTTTGGTGTGTCCATACTTTCTGCTGTAATTCACAGATTTAGGGACTCCATCATTGTATATTAGATAAGCTGTGTCGTTACCCTGTAGAAATATATTAGGATTATAATAGTGAAAATCTTCTACTCACAAAGGCTTACAATATTTCTACCATCTACCCAGACTGCAGTACAGAATTTTCATTAATAAACATGAGAAGTCATCCAGTCTCCTAATAGGCAGCTTCTGCATCAATATGAATTCTGTGACATGCAAGAATGGAGTGGGGGGAGTCCAATCCCAACCATGCGTGGTTTTGACTCACATGACAGGAGCCCCATGCACTGTGATCTTGTGTGAGAGCAGTATTTCTACTTTTCTTGGTTGTTTTGGAAACAGGTTTCTGATTAAGCAACCAGTGTATGATAAAAGAGTTCTGAATTATTTGTTCAGGAAATGAAGAAGGAACAACCAGCCAAGGATTACACCTGTTTTTTGTTGTTGTTGTTGTTTTTTCCACTGGTATAGGCACGGTGCAGATCAGGTTGTCAGAATTTGATTTCCTCTGCCTACTTTGTGCTTCCCTGCCTGGTCATAGCTTTGTATTTAATCAGGACTCCTCATTATCTGCTTCCTTTCCTCTCTGATATGGGAGAGATTTTTTCTTCTTCAATCCATTTCTCAGTGCCACTTCACCTTCCTAACATGATATTTTCTTGCTTAGAAAATGTGGTAAAATTTAATATGTGATATTGGATTTCCTCTGATAAGGCAAAATATGAATCAATTCTCCAAACAGCCAAATTCCTAAGTCATAAAAAGCTATTATTTTGAGCATCTCTTTGTCATGTTTTGGAAACTTATTTATATTTGTTCTGGTTTGTTTCATTCCACTTCCGCCATGCTGCAGTGACTTTTATTGAAGCAAATAATGTTGATATTAAAAAAAACTCAGTGATATTATAAAAGCAGGAAAGGCCTTTTAAAAAGCCCTCTATTTTCTCCGAGGAAAAGCCAATAATTGGTCTCTTGCAGTTACTTCATTATTTGATGTAATCTAAAACATCACAGTCTTTAACATTGTTGGCTACTATGCTTTAACATATTCAGAAAAGTAAGCTATTATCTTACCTTCATTTTCCATAATCAACCATTGCTACAGAATGGAATTTGTATCATCCTTCTGTGGAGAACTCTGAAAGTTATTCCAGGAGCAGACCTTGAATGTGATAAAGAGGCCATTTGTGTGCCTTGGGGGTACAATGTGAAAGGACTCTGGGAAGATCCTGTGAAGAACTTTATTCTTACAATAGATAAGGTTTATTATCCTAACAAGGAGTTTAACAGCCAACTAAGGTTAAATGGATTGTAGCCTAGGTGCAAAGGGAGGCTACTGATGAATGGGAAAGACCATATACAGGTCAGGCATGGTGTCATATCCTTGTCTGTAATCCAACTACTCAGGAGGTTGAAGCAGGAGGATTGAAAGTCTGAGGCCAGCCTGGGCAAATTAGTGAGTCTCTGTCCTTCCCCTCTCCCCGCCCAAAAAAAAACACAAAAAAAGGGAGGAAGACATAAGTGTGTGTCTCTGGACTGCTTTATTCCTTAAATCTATGTGTTCAGTGTTGTTTTAACTATTGCTTGTTGAACAAGAGGGGATTGGTCTCTGACCCTAGTCTAGCAAGTAATATAATCAAGAAAGTATAGGCAACCAGCAGTGTTCTTATGGTGAATGGAGGGAAGTAATTCCAAATATAACCTAGCTATTGGCCTCAGTCACCTTGTTGTTAAATGTCAAGTTAAAGTGAATGAGTCTGAGCTTGCATTCCACTCTCTGTTAGAAGTTCAATTTCACAGAACCTATGGGACACAGCAAAGGCAGTCCTGAGAGCAAAGTTCATAGCCATGAGCGCATATATTAAAAAGACTGAAAGATCCCAAATCAATGACCTAATGATACATCTCAAACTCCTAGAAAAACAAGAACAAGCAAATCCCAAAAAAAAGGAGAGAAATAATAAAAATAAGAGCTGAAATCAACGAAATAGAAACCAAAAAAAAACCATACAAAGAATTAATGAAACAAAAAGTTGGTTCTTTGAAAAAATAAACAAGATCGATAGACCCCTGCCAAACCTTACTAAAATGAGGAGAGAAAAATACCAAATTAGTAGAATCAGGAATGCAAAAGGGGAGATAACAACAAACACGATGGAAGTCAGGAAATCATCAGAGACTACTTTGAGAACCTATATTCAAATAAATTTGAAAATATTGAAGAAATGGACAGATTTCTAAATACATATGATCATCCAAAACTGAACCAAGAGGAAATTAAACACCTGAATAGATCTATAACACAAAATGAAACTGCTCCCAAAAAAGAAAATTCCAGGACCTGATGGATTCTCTGCTGAATTCTATCAGACCTTTAAAGAACTAACACCAACCCTCCTTAAACTGTTCCATGAAATAGAAAGGGAAGGAAAACTGCCAAACAACATTTTATGAGCCAGTAATTTACACTATCCCAAAACCAGCAAACACCTCCAAAAAGGAGAACTATAGGCCAATCTCCTTAATAACATTGATGGCAAAAATCCTCAACAAATAATAGCAAACCAAATCAACAACACATCAAAAGATTATTCACCACGACCAAGTAGGCTTCATCCCAGGGATGCAGGTGTTCACATACAAAAATCAATAAATGTAATAAACCACATTAACAGAAGCAAAGACAAAACCACTTGATCATCTTCAATAGATGCAGAAAAAGCCTTTGATAAGATCCAACCATTTCATGATAAAAGCTCTAAGAAAACTAGGAATAGAAGGAAAGTACTCAACATTATAAAAGCTATATATGACAAACCTACAGCCAGCATTATACTTAATGGAGAAAAAAAAACCATTCCCTCTAAAATCAGGAACCAGACAAGGATGCCCACTATCTCCACTCCTATTCAACATAGTACTGGAATTCCTAGCCAGAGCAATTAGGCAAGAAGAAGGAATAAAAGGAATACAAATAGGTAAAGAAACTGTCAAAATATCCCTATTTGCAGACGACATGATCCTATACCTTAAAGACCCAAAAAAACTCTACTCAGAAGCTTCTAGACATCATCAATAGCTATAGCAAGGTAGCAGGATATAAAATCAACATAGAAAAATCATTAGCATTTCTATACACTAACAATGAGCAAACTGAAAAAGAATGTATGAAAACAATTAGCCTCAAAAAAAAATCAAATACCTAGGTGTAAACCTAACAAAAGATGTGAAAGACCTCTACAAGGAAAACTATACACTTCTGAAGAAAGAGATTGAGGAAGACTATAGAAAGTGGAGAGATCTCCCATGCTCATGGATTGGTAGAATCAACATAGTAAAAATGTCGTATACTCCCAAAGTAATCTACATGTTTAATGCAATTCCCATCAAAATTCCAATGACATTCATTAAAGAGATTGAAAAATCTACCGTTAAATTTATATGGAAACACAAGAGGCCACGAATAGCCAAGGCAATACTCAGTCAAAAGAACAATGCAGGAGGTATCACAATACCTGACTTCAAAACTATATTACAAAGCAATAACAATAAAAACAGCATGGTACTGGCACAAAAAACAGACATGAAGACCAGTGGAACAGAATAGAGGACCCAGATATGAAGCCACACAACTATAACAACTTGTCTTTGACAAAGGAGCTAAAAATATACGATGGAGAAATAGCAGCCTCTTCAACAAAAACTGCTGGGAAAACTGGTTAGCAGTCTGCAAAAAACTGAAACTAGATCCATGTATATCACCCTATACCAAGATTAACTCAAAATGGATCAAGGATCTTAATATCAGACCCAAACTCTAAAGTTGATACAGAAAGAGTAGGAAATACTCTGGAGTTAGTAGGTATAGGTAAAACTTTCTCAATGAAACCCCAGCAGCACAGCAACTAAGAGATAGCATAGATAAATGGGACCTCATAAAACTAAAAGCTTCTGTTCATCAAAAGAAATGGTCTCTAAACTGAAGAGAACACCCACAGAGTGGGAGAAAATATTTGCCAGCTACACATCAGACAAAGGACTGATAACCAGAATATATAGGGAACTTAAAAAACTAAATTCTCCCAAAACTAATGAACCAATAAAGAAATGGGCAAGTGAACTAAACAGAACTTTCTCAAAAGAAGAAATTCAAATGGCCAAAAACACATGAAAAAATGCTCACCATCTCTAGCAATAAAGGAAATGCAAATTAAAACCACACTAAGATTCCACCTCACCCCTGTTAGAATAGCCATCATTAGCAACACCACCAACAACAGGTGTTGCGAGGATGCGGGGAAAAAGGAACCCTCTTACACTGTTGGTGGAATGTAACTAGTACAACCACTCTGGAAAAAAATTTGGAGGCTACTTAAAAAGCTAGACATTGATCTACATTTGATCCAGCAATACCACTCTTGGGATATACCCAAAAGCTGTGACACAGGTTACTCCAGAGGCACCTGCACACCCATGTTTATTGCCGCACTAATGTTGAATGGGATTCAAGAAAATGTGAATCTAAACACAATGGAATTTTATGCAGCCATGAAGAAGAACGAAATGTTATATTTGCTGGTAAATGTGTGGAATTGGAGAACATCATTGAGAGTGAGGTTAGCCTGGCCCAAAAACCAAAAAATCATATGTTCTCCCTCATTGTGGAACATTAGATCAAGGCAACCACACAACAAGGGGATTGGACATTGAGCACATGATAAAAGCAAGAGCACACAAGGGAGGGTGAGGATAGGCAAAGACACCTAAAAAATTGCTAGCATTTGTTGCCCTTACGTGCAGAGAAACTACAGCAGTATACCTTAAAAGCAACTGCGGCCAATAGGAAAAGGGGACCAGGAACTAGAGAAAAGAGGTTAGGATCAAAAAGAATTAACCTAGAAGGAACACAACACACACAGAAACTCAATGTGAGTCAACTGCCTTATAGGCTATTGCCTTACAATGCGGCGAGAGCCAAAAGAACGCGTTGTTTCTCTTCCTATTCATTGCTAGTGTTTCTCGCTCTTCACAAATTAGAGATAAGGGCAAAACATGTTCTTGGCCGGGGTAAAAGTGTGTATAGGGGGTGGGGGGGGAAGGAGGGGGACGGAGTGGGGTGTGAAGGGGAGGGGTGGGGGAGGGGGAGAAATGACCCAAAGTGTGTTTGTACTGCACATAGTGAATAGATAAATAAGTAATAAAAAAAGAAGTTCAAGTTCAGGTTAGGCGATGGGGAACTTATCTTCTCATAGTCACTGGTGGCTTAGTTCCAGCTTCAAGGAACACACAATCTCACCTGGGTATCACCCACTGCTATTGATTTCTTCTTTTGGCTCCATGCCAATCAGACATGGCAACCAGCCCTTTTCCTGTCATTTTCTCCCCAGAACCAATCACTCAAGGCATTGTATGTGTGCAGGTTTTACTTAAGGTATGAAACATTGGTTTTATATCACCACAGTGGCCTACCCCAATCTCCCTCTATAAGGCTTGGGGCATAGCTCAGTGATAGAGTGCTTGCTTAGCCAACATAAGGCCCTCGGATCAATCCCCAGCACCATAAAGAAAAAAAAAAATCTCCCATGTTTCTTACATCTTTTAATTCTTTGCTTCCTTCCCCCTTTTGTTTGTTTTGTTTTTGAAAGCAGTTTAGTTCTTTCTCCCTCTTGGGTTCTGGGGTTGCCTTTGAATATTCCAAGGTCATTATTGGGTTCTGACAAAGAACCATCTACTCCAACTAAGGTGAACAGCAGAGGCTTGACAGTGTTACATTTCTCTCTTCCCTGGTCCAGCAGTCTCAGAACATTGTAGTCGTTTTCTCACTAATTGATTATGGTCGCAGTCTTCATTCCCAGCCTTGGAAAGCAGAAGCAGCTGCAGGCAGTTTTTCATTTTACATAATAGCCTTTTTATTCAAAACAGCGTTGTTGTTGAGATTAAATAATTTTTAAAAAGCACCTAGCATAGTACTTGACACATCACATGTGCTCAAACAGCCGACAAAGTTGTTTTAATTTCACGCTGAAGGCTTTTTTTAATGGTAGGTAAATAAAAGGAGCATTACCACACACAGTTACAATTCCCTGTATATTTCAGTAAATATCCAGATACATATGTGCAGTAGTGCTAGAGGTTAAAGCAGTCTTGTAGTGAGCATTAAATTTCTTGGTATATATGAAAGCCCAGCACAGAACTCTATGTATTACAGAAACATAGTCATTTTATACATTTACTTCTTTATAAGTTATTGTTAGGAAATGCATACATTAGTGTAACTGTGTGTTAATTATTGCTTGATTTTACTTGTTGCCTGGTTGGAAAGCAGTCACTACAACAAATGGAACCTGGGATATTGGGAGGCTGCCAGCAAGTCTGTTTCCTTATGTCTTTTGCTGGTCAGTTCATTGCCTGATAAAATCTTCAGGCAATTTAGTTCTAGGACCTTGAAACTAGAGCTAAGCCTGTCAGCCTATGGTTTTGGAAACAATTAATTAAAAGGAAGACTCAGTGGAGCCCTTTACTTGATCACCACCACTCATCAATACCATGATATAAACAATGCATAACTTAGGAAATGTTGATCGTAGATCTATATTGCCTTGTAACCAGAGATGACTCTTCTCCCTTTTTCTATGAGATGGATAAGTTAGCAAGTGCCAAATAAATTGGCAGAGGTTTTGGTAGCCAGAAGACTTCAGTAAGTAATTTGTTCACACCTTGCCCAGTGATACCGTTGCAATTGGTGCTAAGTGAACCAATAATTTGGCATCACTGTAGATTCTGATGACATCTATCCTAAGGCCTTGGTTAGTTGCTTGGGCTAGTTCTGAGCTAGTTTACTTCAAGTTACTGGGATTGGGGGTTTGGTGGGTGAGTAGGAAAAATTTTCCAAAGCTGCTTTAGGAAGCTTTAGATTGTGTTTAATGCATTTTCTGTGATTCAAACAGATGATTAACTATAACATACCTTGGAGGCATAAGCTTCATAAAGCTGTTGTAAGGTCCTTCCCAGAACACTCCTGCTGGTATTCATTAGTTGCTCACTCCTCCTCCAGCTTCTAATTGTGGAGTCTAGGTAGAGGTACTCTAGCCCAGTTTCTCTACCTTCCTTGTCTTGTCTTTTAGGTAACTTATAAAAGGTAAACCTAACAAAGGAAATAGTTATGAATTACTGTCCTTTAGTGACTGATTTCCTGGTGGCAGTCTCTGTGATAAACACTCAAGTATATCTTCTTACGTTTCATAGAAGGCCTCTAAGGAAAGGGATTAGCCCAAGGTCTTTTCTCCACCCTTTTCTTTGCTCCTGAAATGGAAATGTGAGTCTGAGTGGATATGTTCTAAGACAGATGGCTTGGTGGCTGGGGTTTCTGAAGTGGAAGTCTGTGTATATTGAGAGTGACCCTCTTTGCTATTTCCATAGCTCTAATGACTGCGGTGGGGGGAAGGCCAAGTCCCAGATCTACACTGAAAAAGTCCTGAATTCTCTTCTTCTATAGGTGCTTGGCATCTCAGTTCTTTGCAACTGGCCAGCTTGGTATGATATTAAGGTTTGGGCTTTAGGAGATGGGGAGACTCCCTTGAGCCTCTGACCTAAGCCACATTCTTTAACTCAGTTCACCAGAGTGTTCTGTATTGAGGATTTGGGCTCAAGACCATCTAATTAAATAGGAATCTTCTGTTGTATCCTGTTCATATATCTCCTTTACATATCTCACATAGCATTCAGGAAATTTTGGATCTCTGAACCTAGGGTTTCAATGTGCTCTATTCACATTTCTATCCCAATCATTATTTGTTGTGGGAACTGTACTGTGCACTGTAGCCTCTCTAGCCTAGTGGTTGCCAGTAGGACCCCCAAATTGTGGTAATCTAAAATGTCTCTAAACCTTGTCAAAAGTTCCCTGAGGACAAAATTACCCTCTGCTGAGAATCAATGATATAGCCAGATACCATGATTATAGTATGATCTCCATAGTTAACCCCTAAACTCACAGTGAACTAAACATTCTAATAACATGCTATTGCTATACAATGAACAGTCTGACCCTGAGAGTTCCATACTCATTGATTCTCTTCAGTCTATGTTTCTTTTCCTGCCTTTCTTATTCTTTCTCACTCCCAGGGCCAGATCTTCATATGTGATAGGACATGTGCAACTAATCTTTCATGCTGACATGATGACCTTTGCCTTATAATTTTCTTGGCAAATTGTAGCAGCTAAGCAACAAGTTGCCTTTATTCTCTTACAGAAATTGCTAGGTAATATGTTCATTTAGTTATAGCAAAAATAAACTTTATCCTGGGTGTGGTGGTGCACACCAATAATCCATGAACTCAGGAGACACAGGCATGAGAGTTGTGAGTACTAGGCTAGTTCAGGCTATAGGGTGAGACCTTGTCTTAATAAATGAATAAGTGAATAAAAGTAAACAAATAAATTTTACATGTAAATCACAGTTTGGTGAAGAATTTATGGATTGTCAGTGTACCATGGCTCGCTAGTTGAGAAATAGTATTTTTAAACATTTTTCATGGGTGACTATTTCTAATTATAAGCTATCTGTTTTCTAGCCCAGAGTTCTATGTTGAGGTCTAAACCTAAACAAAAGTATGTCACAGAAATCTTTAAATCCACATTTTTAAAACCAGCTTTACAACATTTTGCTCCAATGTTGTGTATGAAGTTCACACAAAACTTGATGCTGGCCATAGTGGCAAACCTAAAAACCCTAACTAAAGAGTAGCAAAGAGTGCTGCGATTTATCTCTTTAACACTGTACAAGAGGCCAGTAAACTTCCAGCCACTCCAACAGCTGCCTGTGCTGGCTAACAAGCCAAGGTAATCAAACAATGCCATGCCTGATCGAATCCTCCTTCCTGTACTCACAGGGAGAAGGATAAGCTTCAGTTTCAGAAAAAAAAAAAAAGTCATCTGCCTTCTCTCCTTTGTCAGTCTCGTAAAGGATGCTGAAAGGGGAGTTAGGAAAAGCCATATGTAATTAAAGGAAATTGCCAACTGACCGAAATTGTCAGCTCAGTTCCCCTTCTGCAGCAACAGGGTTGGCCCTGTTGAGAGCAGTGACTGAGGTCCCAGATGGCTGCTCTGCTCTTTCTCAGGGACAACTCACTAACTCAGAAGCCAATCCCTGTCTGAGTTGAGCCCACTGGCACACTTTAAGTCCCTTTGTTTTTTTAAAGGGAGGAGGTGAGGTGAAAGTCCTCCTTAAGGACATCACAGCCAGCTGCTCTGCCTCCTGCACTCTGGCTTTCTATTTGCATACACCAATCCTGACATTTCATTTACCTACCAATCCACAGCATCACCTTCTTCATTTCTGCACGATAGTGTTGGTGCCTCTAGGACCCCAAAGAGGCCAAGAAAGAGTAAAGCAAGGGTTGTTCTTGGAAGTCTTGCTGTCATTTTCTGTTACCTTTATTCTATGCTGCAGCAGGGTATTTCCCCAGAGATTGTCTGAGTTTCCAATCTCTCTCAGGCTGTGCTGGCTCCAACATTGGATTCTATTTACCTCTGCTGTTCGCTGTTCAGGCATTTTCAGAATGGGATGAATCCCATGTAATCGTGTGATTGTGTCACAACATCCCAGCGTGACTCGGAATGCCTTTGTGCTCAATTGTTGACTGGTTTGCAAAGTCATCAAAATGTTCTGGACAGAAAAAGAGGAATATCTATATATCTATATATATCTTTGCAGTGAGTATGATGTTCAGGGGAAGAGGAACTCCATTGAAAAGTAGATGTTGGATTAAATATATTACATGTTTTCTTCCCCTTCTGATTGACTCTCTATGAGTGAGAACCAATGCATGTGGTTCATACATTAAGTAGAAATGACAAAACCTTATGCTACAGTAATAATTAGGATCTGTCACCTATAACAATCCCTATCTTAAGGAAATAATTGTTAAATAGTACTGTAGAAGGCTGCTTCAAAATAAGAGCAAATTCAATTGCAATTTACAAAAAATGTTGACATATCTTCTCCACCTCCCTGGTTTTGTCCACTCAATGTGGTGCTTTGCTTTACAGAGGCCTTGGTTACTGTGACAAGGCTACTGTGCAATCAGGTAAACATATTGACCTCCCACTCTTCAGCTGAAGCAAGAAACCTGACAAACATTTGTGTGTCCACATTCTTCTTTCTCATTCTTGACACTGAATCTGAAATTGAAGGCCAAGGGAAAATGGCCTATTACCATAACGATTATAAAAAGATGAGACGGATCTCTTTTGGGAAGAGGGAAGGAGTAATAGACATCTGAGAAGAATTTCTTTAAATGTATGGTCTCCTGAATCAATTATTAGCTGTCATAATAAATAGCAGTTAACCTCATGCCTGGAAATGAGGATGACTGTAGTCTGTCCTTCTGATCATAGATTCAGATCAGAGTTGTTTAGGAGATCCAGATCAAACCAGACTCTTGCAAATCAGATCACTTTTATTTCCTGGCTGGTGTTAATCAGGATTCTCAGAATTTGTGAGAATGGGAGGGCTTGTGTAGGTCTATTTCTCCTAAGATAAATTGTAAGGAACACTCTGGGTCACTCTGGGACACCACATTACCAATGAGGTGTCTGAAAAAAACGACAGAATTCTGGGCCTTGTCTCAAACCTGCTAAGTGAGAATACTCCCAGTTAGGTTCAGGCATCCATAGTTTTAATAAGCTTATTGGTGATGCTGGTATACCTGAAAACTTTGAACTCACTGCTCCAAGGCCCAGGCTATGCGGCATCTTCTCCAGGGAACAGAATGAAGACAGTTTTTGGAATAGGATGTAAAATAAGTCATGTTTTCTTCTCCTCAGAACATGCTTAGAATAATGCCTGGTAGTGCTAAAGGGTTCTTAAATGTTAGCTAAAATCATTCTCATTTTCCTGTAAGGTGGACTGAGGGAACATATATATTAAGATGGTATTTGCTAAATTCAATTTTATTCCGTGGTCTGGAAAGACATTGTTCGGTTGGCTTCTTTCAGATATCACTTTCAATAAACTTTCTTATTTCCTGGTGTTGCTGAGCTGAACTTGCTGGTTGTCATTCAACAACCTTCTGCATACAATCACTAGTTTTGAACTAGTGTACCACACACCAAGGGTTTCCAGGGATTCCAGTATGATCCTAAAGCCATATTGTTACTAAAAAGATCAAAGTCATGTTTGGTGCATTAAGAAAACACAGACTTGACATAATGTTTTTCACAATATTTCCTGCTTTTGAAGCTTAAGTAGTGGAATGATATGAAAATATCACTAGTAAATTACCTCTAACAATAATAGAAAATGCCTTCATTGTAACTTGGTCAAGTAAAGCAAACAGGGAAGAATTCTTTACTTGGAAATGAATTTTTGATTTTACGAAAGTTTGAAGGTTTTCATTCATTCATCCAGTAATTCTGGAAAATCCCAGTCTTGAATTAGAACAATGCTTGGTAGTAACTGATTTTTTAAATGTTAACTATGACCACTCTTACTTTCCTGTAAGATATCTGTATTAGGATGGTATTTGATAAATCCAATTTTATTTTAAGGCCCAGAAAGACATCGTTAGGTTGATGTCATTGAACAGTATCACTGCATTCTCTTTATTACATCTTTCTATACATTTTCTGTCTCTCTCATGCATTCTAGCTCCATGTGTACCTGCATTGGTACTTGATTCTTTATTTGGACCTTCTAGTTCCCTAATTCTCTAAAGAGAATTATCTGTTACTTAGTCTATCTCTTCCAAATACCTAATTCTTTCTTGAGTTGTGTTTAATCTGTTTCTTAATCCACTTATTAGTGAATTTCTAGAAGTTTTAATTGCTTTTTTTCTAAATTTACTTGGTTGTTTATTTCTTGCTCATATTCTCAATCACATATTAAATATATTATATATTTAATACATTTAAATATTTATATATTATATATATTTTATATATATATATTATATATATATATGTAGTCCAATAGCTGAAGTCTTTACAGCTGCAAGTCTCTCTTTCTCATTATACCTTGCTATTGTGTCTATTTTTGATTTTTTGGCTGTAAGTTCATGCTCCTTGAAGCTTTATCTGTGAAGATTTTTTTTGAGATTAAGATAAAGCTAGGTGTTTTCCAGACCCTGGTCTATCCTGGCTTCATCAAAGTACATTCATCCTGAGAGCATTCCTAAGAAGCAGGCTGCTGGCTTTATTTATATTTTAGGTAGCTTTTTGAAGCATTATTTACATACCATAAAATTTATCTGTTTAAGTTCAGATTTATTTTTGTTCCTACAAGACTGAGAAAAATCCAGCATGTGAGAGACTGAAGGAAAAATTTGATATGTCTGCAGAAGGAAGGGGAGAAAGCTTGACTTTGCTAAAAAGAGACAAGAGAAGCAAATGAAGACAAAAGAATTGCTTATGAGAAATGTGCTTAAAGGCAAACATGAGTAGAATAAGTGGAAAAGGATGGAAAATTATACTGGGCTAATTTCTACTCATTGTCCAAGTTGCTCTGAGGTTCTTCCTGGATGCCATTTTTGATCTCTTCCAATCTGGCTTAGGTCTCCCTGCAATGGATTCCCAGAGCTCACTGTATTTTTTCAATTAGAGTAATTGATGCAATGTGTCGCTAATTACTTGGCTACTTCTCTGAATCTTCCTCTAGACAGTGGTCAGAGAAGTTCTTATGGCCCATAGCCTGTTTTTATAAGTAAAATTTTATTGGAACACAACCATCCCCATTTGTTTATGTATTATGTGCAATTGCTTTTATGTTATAATGGCAGAACTGAATCATGAAAACAGTACCTTATAGTCTAAAAAACCCTAAAATATCAACTATTTGATTCTTCACAGGAGATATGTTGAAGTGATCTCTGTGAGGGCAGAAGAGCATCTGCCTTGTGGTTTTTGCATCTCCTGGCATAGCACTATGCTTGTCACCGAGGAGGAACTAAATCAGTATAGCTTCGTGGGTGCATGGGTTGAATGAGTTTGGTCTCAGAGACTTCAACTTGGGGGTTATATGGAATTTAGAGTGAATGAAATCTAATCAGAGAAATAAATGTGGGTAGTTAGTAGGTAAAATCCCATTATAAAGAATTTCATTATAATGTTTATAAGTCAGGGAGGCACCTATTGTGAAAAGAACAAGCCAGACCTAACCCTGTCTTTCACTAGCCATGTGTTGTTTTGTTTTCTTTCTTTTTTTTATATGTTGTTATTGTTTGAGACTCACTATGTAGTCTAGGCTGGCCTCTAACTCACTCTGGGGACCAGGCTGACCTTGAACTTGTGATCTTCCTGTCTCTGCCATCTGAGAGCTGTGATTGCAGATGTGTACTACCATGTTCAGAAGCTATGCGGATTTGACCTTTTCTGAAGGTGGTACTCAGAATCTCTACTTTCACAGACAGCTATCAGGGCTCACTGGGGTAATAGATACACAACCTTGGCATACAACTGGTGCCATTAATTTCTGGTTCCTTTCCACATTTGTTTCCTCTTCTTTCATGACAGACTTATGACAGACTTTCTTTTGCTTGCAGGTTGAGTAAAACCAGTTCTTTGGTGATATAATTTTAAATGGCCTCAAATAAGTCTGCATTACTCATGTTTTCAATGGTCCTTATCCGGATGTTTACAATGGTCCTTATCCGGATAAAAAGTCAATGTTCAACTCAAAGGAGTGTCCTGTTGTTGAAAACATGAAGCTGAACTTTCATCCTTCCCAAGAGGCAGCCGCCCTTCAACAATGCCCACCATAAACACAGAGTCCATCTAAGCTAATAGTCCCCTGAAGTTTAAAAAAAAAATGACCAGAGAACTAGAAAAGAGGATGGTGTGGGTAAAGGGCAAGAGGTGTTGAGTAAGTTTCTGCCTGTTATAGTCCAGTCTCACCAGTACTGTTCTCACTACTCCAGTCTGTCTGTCTGCTGTGTGAATTTGGGTAGCTTGTTTGAATGGCTGAGCTAGTTTATTTGAATAGGAATTCTTTCTGCCCTCAGTTGTTGTAAGGAAGAGATAAGATAATGTAGGTCCCAATGGGTGAGAAATAAGTGGTAGAATGGCACATAACCTAACTCCTTCCCTTGGGATCAGTGTTTTCTTTCTTTCCTTCATGCGTTGTGACTTGAAAAAGATTTGTCAAGCAGATCAAAGGGACCATGATGCAGTGGTAAAGAGCATCTCATTTGGAGGCACTGGACTGGGCTTTCATTCTACCTCTCTCACTTGGTAACTATGCCACTTGGAAGGTTTCTTGGCCTGTCTCCTTTCATCAAACTTAGACAGAAGAAATGACATATGCAAATTTCCGGATACACATCAAACCCTCAATACATGTTTGCTACCATTATTTTTATTTTTAAGAACATACATTCAGAAACAGATATCTTTCAGTATATGCATTTCAGTATCATTTTCTTCCAACCACAGTTTTGGAGATCACTGCCAATTCCTTTTAAATTTAGAAAT